CCATGTGTGTGCTGTGTGTGTCCTGTGTGTGTCCTGTGTGTGTCCTGTGTGTGCTCTGTGTGTGCTCTGTGTGTGTGTGTGTCCTGTGTGTGTCCTGTGTGTGTCCTGTGTGTGCTCTGTGTGTGCTCTGTGTGTGTGTCCTGTGTGTGTGTGTCCTGTGTGTGTCCTGTGTGTGTCCTGTGTGTGCTCTGTGTGTGTCCTGTGTGTGTCCTGTGTGTGTCCATGTGTCCTGTGTGTGTCCATGTGTCCTGTGTGTGTCCTGTGTGTGCTCTGTGTGTGTCCTGTGTGTGCTCTGTGTGTGCTCTGTGTGTGTCCTGTGTGTGTCCTGTGTGTGTCCTGTGTGTGTCTGTGTGTCCTGTGTGTGTCCATGTGTCCTGTGTGTGTCCTGTGTGTGTCCTGTGTGTGTCCTGTGTGTGTCCTGTGTGTGTCCTGTGTGTGCTCTGTGTGTGTCTCTGTGTGTGTCCTGTGTGTGTCCTGTGTGTGTGTCCTGTGTGTGCTCTGTGTGTGTCCTGTGTGTGTCCATGTGTCCTGTGTGTGTCCTGTGTGTGCTCTGTGTGTGTCCTGTGTGTGTCCTGTGTGTGTCCTGTGTGTGTCCTGTGTGTGTCCTGTGTGTGTCCATGTGTTCTGTGTGTGTCCAGTGTGTGTCATGTGTGTGTCCTGTGTGTGCTCTGTGTGTGTCCTGTGTGTGTCCTGTGTGTGCTCTGTGTGTGCTCTGTGTGTGTCCTGTGTGTGTCCATGTGTCCTGTGTGTGTCCTGTGTGTGCTCTGTGTGTGTCCTGTGTGTGTCCTGTGTGTGTGCTCTGTGTGTGTCCTGTGTGTGCTCTGTGTGTGTCCTGTGTGTGTCCATGTGTGTCCTCTGTGTGTCCCATGCGTCTTCATGATCTCATGTCTTCTGTTTCAGGTAATTGTGGGAAGTATTTTTGAGGTGTTCTGGGACATGATCAAACCAGGAGCTTCGTTTGGCATCAGTGTGCTCAGGGCTCTGCGTCTGCTCAGGATTTTCAAAGTCACCAAGTGAGTACTTGAGTACTTCTATGAGGTCATAGTATCTGTCTCATGTGAGCTCAGAGCTGTAGCAGCAGGCAGAGTGATGCAGTCAACAAGGTTTGATGGATTTGTTTGGGAAAGTATATCTCACACTGGAGGACGTGTCTACACACAGAGAGGCTGAGGAGGCTGACTGATGTGCTGCTGCAGGAAAGACGAGCAACAGAAATGAGTTACAGAAGACTTTTGTCTGTTGTACAGTACATGACACTCATGGATCATACTGATTTGGACATTTAACATTTCAACACAAAATAACTTAATAAAAGAAACGTGCTGGCTTCCATTTGAAAACTTCTGCACTGCTAAATCCTCTTTAACTCAGTAGACAGCAGTGGTCATGTATGGGAGTCAGAGAAAACAGGAATTAGAAATTAGAAAACAAAGATTACTCAACATGCATGAACGTTTTATGGTTAAACATGGATAAAAGCTCTAAAAAGTCAACTGTCCATAATATGTCCAGTGTATTTTAAAGTCACAAGGTTTAAAAAGTGAAGCACATACATTTCATGCTTCTATTTGTGAAACTACAGTTCAGTACAAATCTTGCATTATCTCTTCATCTCTTAATGAAGAATTGAAAGGCTGCAGTCAAACCAGAGTTAAAGGTATTAACAGTGTATTATTAAGTACTTTATTTATTTGTATTATTTAAAGCAGATGCACAGTTTAAACCATGGATATAACAGGTCATGTTTGTTAAGTGACAGCTACAAAAGTGGAAATAGTTCTGCAGTGGAGAGACAGTGTATCTATATGAAGGAGATTATAGGTAAACTTGTGATTGGCTGATAGACGCCGGACTGGGGAGGAACGAGGAGACCCAGCAGTGTCAGTGAACGCACTAATCAATGTGTGTGTGTGTGTGTGTGTGTGTGTGTGTGTGCGCGCAAGTGGATCACAGGATTATTGCTAAGCTCAGGAAATAAAGCAGTACTGCCACACGCTACCACCCAAACACTATTCACTATACACTAACACAAGGAGCACAAATCACCAAGAGGCCTACTCACATTTTCTGCACATGTGGTACTTCTGCATCACTGCTTCAGCTTCTTCACAGACTGGGAAATTAAGTGTGTAATACTACTGAAGAAAATATATAAACAATAAACTGTAACATTCAAACTATTTCATGCCACTGTCACAACTGAAACTCTGTACACTGCAAAAAAGCTTGGCCAAAATGTAAGATATAAACAGTTAAATCTATCCAAAAATGACTTAAAAGTAGTGAAATTATCTGTCCATGTAGGAAGATCATTTTACTTGACAAGTTCTCTTGAAATAAACAACCTCTACACTAAAATGAAGCAGTATATGGTCAGTGTTCATGGGCTGGAAATAAGTTTATGGAGGCTAAGTTTGAGATAAACCAGTTTGATTAGTGTTCATGGTTTGATAATAAGTTATCAGAGGCCAAATTCTAGAAAAAATGCTTTAAATTCTGCTAAATTCTAGATCAAGGGTCTCCAAACTTTTTTCTCTAGTGAGCTACCTTTACAAAACAAAAATGCCAAAGAGCTACTTATTTTAACAGTTGCAAGAAATGTAGTAAATATAAGAGCCACAGCCTTAGACTGCGGACAGTTAGATAAAATATAATCCATTATTTATTTATTAGTGCACGAAACTGGGAATTAAAATGATAGATTTACAATGGTAATTAATCAAATTTTACTTATTCAGCACAACATGTATAATTCAGAAATCCCTTGGTGAGCTGCTTGGAATAGGGTGGAGAGCCACTGGTAGCTTGGAGACCCCTGATCTAGATAAACACACTTAAAACAAGATTATGATTAGCAGAAATGACCTGATAATAAATTCAAAGATGCTAAATTCTAAATATAAGTTCTTGAAATCAGTCTTACATGAGAGTAGTTAGTGCATTCATACACTGAACCCTACACAATCATGCTTGAGCATGGCATGGTTCAAAAGTCCTAGTGTGAGTGTGCCCTTAAAGAAAAAGCAGTCAGTCTTGTATGAAGCAAATCTGTATCACTGAGTGTTGTACAGAAAATTTGGTAAATGGATTGTAGCCTCTTTTAAACATTTATTGCCTAGATTTAAGATTTTCACACTAGTTGAGTCATGGAAGAAATATATGTAACAATTTTAAGATTATACAACCAATTCAGAACTAGTAAGTAGATAATAAATCTGAAAACTTGAATAACCTGATATAAGTTTTTAAGTCTTGGCAAGAAATTTGCAGTGGACTTTCTGTGACAGGACAATGTTGTGTGTAGCTCTGGTGGAATATTGAGCAGTTACCATGACACAATGCAAACGCTGAAAAATAACTTTTAAGATCTCTGTTTTTTATTCAGGAAAAAATACAAAATGGATTTAAACAACACATTTTCAGAAGTCAATCTGAGCTTTCATGGTCCTGTTTATTTGCCTGACTTTTAACAGAAAGGAACATCTGAAAAGGCAAATTTGAGAAGGACCTGTTTAAATCAGCTCACATCTTCTAGTTCCATAAATCAGTTCTTTCTGGTCAGATTGTATTAAAAAAAACTAATGCGCCATCCACACTAGTACGTATTCGAGTCGTTTTCGTTGTGGATGCAGTGTTTGTTCACACTAAGAGACGGAACGATCTGGTGCCAGCAGCTCCCGAGAATACAGATCTGATCTGGCACCGTGTGGACGCTTGAAATGAAATATAATATAATGAAATATATATAAATATGCTCAGATCTGTGTGGATAAGGAAGACTTGCAGACACAGAAACAACGTGTCTGGATGCAGATCGTTTCCGAAACAGTGATACGGTGATTCGTTTCAGTGTAAACGCAGTCTTAACTAACAGAGCTTCAGCTTCAGTGCTTCTAGTTTGCTTCACCTTCTAGGGAACATTGACGACGTCAGCTGCAATGTATCAACAACCAAAAAGAAGAATTATCCCCCCAAAAACTATTCTAAATGTACAATACTAAAAACTAAATATTAAAGCTGCACTGTGTAACTTTTTGATTGGGAGTCTGTCACCTGCTTGTTTCTATGGAGATGTCATTGCTCTGCCTGGAATGTTCCACAGTGTGACATTAAACAGCTCTACTTTACATTTATTCAATTACAAGTGGTTTTATAACTCAAAAATCCCTAGAAAAACAGACATTGTGACTTTGAGCGGGGTCGCCTCTCCACAGATCTGACCTGTAACTTGCTCTGGTTTGGTCTCCATGAAGATAGAAAGATTTAACACCACACTGTGAAACATTCCAGACAAGACAATAACATCTCCATGAAGAAAAGCGTCTGACGGAGCCTCCACCAGAAAACTTACATAATGCACCTTTAATTATTTAGATTTCTTCAGCTCAAATCTAACTTTTGTTTTTGTTTTTCACCAGCTCTTTGTCATTACATAGATTTCGTGTTCAATAGAAACCAGGACACGCTGATAATCCTAAATGAACACATGGAAATGAAGACTTCCTGATAGTATTACTGACGCTCTTTGGTTATGGTTTTTCTAATGCAGTTATGATGTGATTGGAGCTGTAATCTCAGTTAATCCCATCATGCACTGCAGAGAGAGAGAGAAAGAGAGAGAGAGAGAGAGAGAGAGAGAGTGCTCATTATCAGGAGCAGGCTCTTATCAGGCTCTTAAATAACAAGAATCTTCATTTCATCTGACAGACTTACCGCTTTTATATCCGAATCAGAGTCCCTAAATTTTCACCGTGCTGCTCATTGCTCAGTACATGATTTTAGATGAGAAATATATAGTTTAAAATAACTGAGGTGGAACTAAACACCAACAATCATCTTTTTTGCGATGTGTGTGTATGTTGTGTATATGCGCCGAACCCTTTCATTACCAAACGCACATTAAACGTAATTTTCCATAACCTCTTCAGCGTGTTCTGCCGCGATTAACGGTGCACACTCAGAACCTGTTCACATGAGAACGGTTGAGGGTAAAAACGGCAAAATACTTCATCGGAAGTGCCTTTTGTTTAGATGGTGATGGCATTTTGGGGGCTTAAAAACACAAAAATCTGAAACCATCGTCCAGAGTGGAAAAAGTTAAATACGCTCCATCGTACCATGTCTGTCTACACTGCACAAGGCCCTGTCCACACTAGTTCATATTCAAGTGGTTTTGGTTGTGGATGCAGTGTTCGTCCACACTAATCCAATTGAAAATGGCTCCAGAGACAGAACGATCTGGTGCCTCCAGCTCCCACAAATTGATTGAGTCCAGATCTGATCCTACACTGTGTGGACACCTGAAAACACTGATACTTTGATGTAGGTCTGTGCACTGCGAAGTAATTCATTGCCAAATGCGAAAAGGCTAGAATATATGTTCATTCATATAAACATGTGTCTGTGTGTACGACCTGCAGATGTTTAATCTCTGAAAAGTGTCACATGAACCATCTCCAACGCGATAGAAGCACAGAACAGACTCATCATCAGCAGAACACCCCTGTCACAGAAAGAACACTCATATTCCATAGTTATTTAGTCCGACAGAAGCTGAACTGCATCAGTGCATAATAGTGAGCTGTTTTTTTTTTTTTTTTAATCTTAGTTTATGCAAATTAGGCATGTGGTTTTAAGTTTTGTTTCTGTAAAATGTAAATAAATGTGCTCAAAGCTGTGTGAATAGGGAAGACTTGCGGACACAGAAACGGCGTGTCTGGATGCAGATTGTTTCCGATATGGTGGTACGGTGATACGCGGATTTGTTTCAGTGTAAACGTAGTCCAAGACGCAAAACTCTGGTCAGATGTGCTCTTGTCACATACTCGTTTACGTCACATACACACAGTACACAGAAACAAACATGTCGGATCACTTCCATTTGTCGGACCTTGAAGCCGCTCTGTGTTCTAATAAACTTACACGAGGCAAAACAACAAATATAGAGAATGTGCAGAGATACTATTAGTGAACAGAGAAGGATCTGCCATCACCTCTGTCAAATTCTGGATGCACCAGTTGATCACAGGCGAGTCAGACAGATATGGACAAGACCTGGAGAACCAGTTGATGGTGGGAAAACTTTGTAGAAGGAGTAGCTGATGAAAATGCGTGGCGTGAAAACAAACATCGAAGACCCCGAAGGCCATAACAAATAATAAAGTGTCCTGAGTGTACTACATGGATATATTAAATACTGAAATCATATATTTGTTTAAATATTGTTAATGAAGTCACACAATTAATGCTTAACCACTGAAATCTGATATATGTGTTTAAAGGTACCACTGTGTGAAAACATATATGTTTTTAAGGTATTCCCTTTGCAGAGATGAGGGTTGTGTCTTTTTAAGGACATTCTTTACAGAGCAGCTGATGTGGGGACATCCTGATTGGCTCCAAACCTAAATAGATCCGGTCATTCCCATAAACGGAGAGGCTCCAGGGAGGATCTAAGGCATGAACCTGATCAACATATCATTATGCATATTTCTGTGAATGTATATATACTGGTTTAAGGGACAGATGCAGGTGTTCAGACTGCCTGAAGTAAGAAATATGTGGAATAGGCCATCAGGGACAGTGGTTTGACCCAGAGCTCTGTATTAGAATTGTGTTGAATAGGGAATACATTTTTGTGATTTCAAACAATCGATTCCAGTCATTATTTTCTACAATTGGAACACACCAACAATCCCTAGTTTAGAATGTTCACTCACCAACCCAAAGGTTAGCAGTTTGATCCCAGGTCCAAACGGTGCATAGTTTTGTCTTAAAGCAAGACACTTCACCCCCTTGCAAATGTGTGAATGTGACATGTGAGTGACTGGGGGTCAGAGGGGCCAATGACGCAGACTCACAGCTTCACCTTTGAATGTGGGGAGTAAGTTTGAGTATCAGAACAGGAGCTGTATACATTTAAGGTAGTTGTCTTGGCCTCAAAACTCAATCCTCTTCCTTTTTCAACATTTTGAAAAAGTATAAATATGTCTATTGTCAACATGTGTGAAAGTTAAATAGTGATACAAGTGTTAACAATAAAACTGTACTGTAGTAATGTGTGTGTGTGTGTGCTGTGCTCAGGTACTGGAACTCCCTGAGGAACCTGGTGGTGTCTCTGCTCAACTCCATGAAGTCCATCATCAGCTTGCTCTTCCTCCTCTTCCTCTTCATCGTGGTGTTTGCTCTGCTGGGCATGCAGCTCTTCGGGGGGCAGTGAGTACACGTGCTTTTACACTCACATGAGACTTTTAACCTGTGCTTTTCTAACCACACATCTAACCACGAGTTTGGCTTTTGTGTTGGACCATTCTTCCATAAGTGCAGATGATTTATCACTTTTCTAAAGATCTGAGCTGCCCCTGCAAGTCTAAAAACAGTTAGTAAAAACTTTAATAGAGCCAATCAGCACAAGATCACACACTGCAGAAAAGCTTGGCCAAAGTTTAAGATATAAACACTCACATCTATCAGAAAATGAAAAGAAGTAGTGAAATGATTTGTCTGTGCGGCATGATCATTTTACTTGACGAGTTCTCTTAAAATAAACGACCTCTAGACTAGAATGAAGCTCTCAGAACTAGTAAGTAGAAAATAAATAAGAAAACAAGATGAATAACTTGATATAAGTTTAAAAATCTGCCAGATCAGAGAAAATTGCAGGGTAATACAATTATTATCATAACACGTTTGTGAAACTCGATGAAAAGCAGATTTCAGTTCTGATATTTGCTTATTGAAATGAATTGTGTTATGTGTTATATTTTGCTAGACTCACAATTATTTTTCTTGTTGAATAAAACTGAAATAAATTGAAAAACATTCGTCCTTACTCTGAGGCTTACATCTCCACAAACCTGACTCGTATTTGTCCTGGAGGAGGACTTCCTCCTGCTTGTCTCTATGGAAATGTTGTTCCTTTGGCATAAAACAAACCTGTCTCTATGGAGAATGTTTCAAAGCATGGTTTGAATTTAATATAATCCATGGAATCACACAGGTGATGTGCCACCTCCAGAAAGTTTCTCACTGTGGCTTTAATTGCTTAATTAATGTACAGCCAAAGGTGAATATGATATTTTGTTTTACAGCAAAATAAGCGTGTTCCATCTTTAGATCACAGACCAGTATTTCCACATATACAGTGAGTTTTTTGGCTGGAGGTTTGGGGCAGTGTTGTGCTCGTAGTGACACATAAAAGTACTCTAGTATGTATTATGTATTAGTGTATTTGCTGACTGCGTGCTGAGACTCAGCCTGTATGTCCTCGCTCAGAGCCTGTGATCATGTCTCTAATGACAGGGGCCGCTCCAGGGGCCGAGCTAAGGGCCCTTAATCAGAGAGCGGGCCCCCAGCCATGCCTGACTCAACACAACCTGCACACGCTAACATGCTGACGCTGTACCAGCTCAGCTAAACCAAAAATGTATTCAACAGTTTTCAAAATCTCTCCAGAACAACCAGAACAACATGCTTTATTCAGGATTTCCTCACTTTTTACGCTTCAGTAACATACTGCTGCTACTATTAATGCAACATTTCAAACTCGATACTAAGGAATAAACTTGATACTTAAAATGTAAAACTCTTTCTCTAGACAATAGAATGTGATTTTCAGCATTAAATAATTGTACTTTCCTTTCTATTCCCATGTGGCCTTATATGTGTTTAATCCCTCCGTGGGTTTGGCAGTCGGCCTGTAACAATAACAGATTTAGCTGGACGATTAATTGACCAAGAATTTATTGCGATAAACAATAATATTGACATTTTGAGACCAATTTCAACTATTATTATGACCATGGAATAAAAATGCAAATACACCCTTTCAAAGATCAGTAAACCTTACTTTCTAAAGAACATTTAACACAGGAAGTGTAAGACAAACAAAAACAAATAAAAAAAAAACTAAATAAAACAGACTTGTTAACAAAGGACTAGCCTAATGTAGTCTGGCTCAAGCAAGGACTTGTTCACAAAAATGCACTTGAATAAACCACTGTTGAACCAAATACAACCGAAGCAATAAATAAAATGGATTATTAAGTCTCTGTAACAAAATGGCCCTTAAAAGTGATTTTAGTCATTGACTTACACTGGTATATAGTGACCACTCTCTCTGCGGCTGCTGCTGTGGCCTCATCATTTTTGGTCATTTAAATGTTCGTATTAACCTGCGACACATGATGTTATTTCTCTATGAGGAAGCCACTGTCCTGTCTGGTATTGTGTCAGCGTCTTGTGGGATTTCAGGTTCTCCCAGGGGCGGGGCTAGTTCTGTCACTCGGGTTTGGGTTTATCGGCTGTTGGGGTTTGAGACATTTCTTCTCGTCGTTTGCGCTCGCTGTATTTGTTGAGACGTGTCCCACTCACCAGTGTTGATTCGGCATCGGGACTTGTTTTGGCACTCAGAGATGAATTGTTTTGGTTCTGACAGCGGCGCTAGTTTGTGTTGCGGCTTCATGTTTCTTCGCACAGACAGCGGAGTTTTCTATACTCAGGCTACACGCGCATCCGCTGTGTTGATAAAGACACGCACGTTGGTTCAAGCATCATTACACTTGTTAAATGAGAGGAGTCAGAGAGCGACAGAAGCTTCTAACATCCAGTCTCTTTGAGAGCGAGAGTGAGCGAGGAAAACAAACAAACATGCAAATAGAATTTATAGTGGCCGGAAAAGTTATCGAACTCATTAAAAGTTATCGTACGATTGATTTATTGATTATCATTACAGGCAAGTTATTTTAAAAGGAAAAGTAGCATGTTTAATTTTGTTACCCTTCACAAAATATCACAATAAATATCATACTCTAAGATGTATATTGTGAAAATATTGTAGAAAGAGATTTAGATATTGTTACATCCCTAATCATGAGCCTCCCCACCATATCGGGAGCTTTCCCATGATATCACAATAAATATCGTACCGTGAGGTTCATACTGTGACGATATCGTATCGTGACACTTGGATATTGTTACACCCCTACCATAAGCCTTAATGCATTTTCAGTGGAGGAACTAGTGTTAGCTTGATTCATCAACCGATTTCATTTCGTTTCACTTCGTAGAAACCGTCTGACCTCGCAGTGTTAGATTTTGTTCGCTCGACAGTAGGCGGGTACTTTTTATCATTTAACCAATCACTGCTATTTGGTCGTGATGTATGCAATGCACCACTAACGAGGTTAACTGGTATATTAAGCTTTTCCCAAATCCTGTAGGAAGAAGGACAGTAACGTCTTTCCCCTTGATAAAAATCACCCAAACATTCTCTTTATTCCGGCTTTAAATCCTCGATCTTGGGAATCGGTGACAACACAGAATATATGGCTCTTCACTGAACTTGTACTTCCGGGTTTTTTTGTGAACCGTCTAGCACAGACATGTCAAACTCAGGCCAGGGGGCCAAGTTTGGCCTGCGATTAAATTATATTTGGCCTGCGAAATCATATCAAATCTGTATTAGAGCTGCCCGCCGGCTACAGATCGACTATAGAAACATTATTTATTTAAAATGTTGTTATTTTTAGTATAGGATATATTAGTATGCTATCCTTGTTCTGGATTCAATGTTTAAGCAAAACTATTATTAAACATTTGTTTTAATAAGGTTAATAATGTTAAAAAGGTTTAAAATTACATATTTCAAACAAGAAAACATGCAGATGTTGTTGAAATTTTTCAATAAATATTTAGTTTGTGGCCCCCAACTAAGTCCCAGTTTTTCATTTTGGCCTCTGTGAATTTGAGTTTGACACTCCTGGTCTCGTGTATTCTGATTCCTGACCTAGTCGCTGGAGAGAAATGAAATTGAGCGGCGGCACTAGGTGGCACCAGCTTAAGTGTTAACCACCAAACATCGTGATCTATGAATATTCAACAGCATTTCGGCAACTGGCAACCATTTCAACACATGCGAGTAAAATAAAACCTGTACGAGTGATGTCAAAAAAATTAATAATAATAATAATAATGATAATTGTATGTATTTATTTATTTCTCAAGTTCTCAAGAATTTTATCATAAGACAGGCCATTGTACAAGCTGGTGTGTCGACACTGGAGAGTAAAATAAGTGGATATGTATGAATATGTATGCATATGTATGAAGGGAGATTAGGATCGCTGAGGAGGCTGATGGTTCTGCTGCTGCACTGGAGACGATGGAGAGGAGGATGCTGAAAAAATGTCAAGAAAGATGAAAGTAAAGAGAGAAGTAAAGATTGCAGGAGAAGTAAAGATCGCAGGCTGTGATTGGCTGACAACAAGGAAAAGCTGCTTATCTAAATTAATTAACTCTTCAGCTGAATATCTAATCTTTAATGTCTAAAAAAAAATGAAAGCTCTTAGTGGTGATTTATTCTGAGCTCTGATTATGTCTCCTCTCTCCAAACACCACACGCCTCTCTGGGTGGAGGAGTAAAAGCTGGAACACAAACATCTGGAGGTGCACGGGCCCACAGCAGAGCGGAGGAGGAGACGAGCTGCAGCGCGCTCCTCCGTCTCACTCTCAGGATTAAGATGAAGTGAAGCGTACGAGCCGAGGATGAGGAGACGTGAGGAGAGCTCAGGAGAGGAATCAGCATTTATAATGAAAGATACGTGGAAACAAGAGACAGTGTGTTTATGTGTCTGATTAAGACTCACCCAGTCTGTTAATAAAAGCTGCACTCATCAGCTTTAAGCATGAGCTCTTTCTCTTATCAGCCGCACTGCTGTTTTACTCATGGAGCTTTCAACATACTGTACATGCTAAGTCTCCATCGCTACACGTTTATCACAAGATCAAGTCAGAAATAATTAAATAATGATTTTCTGCTTATATCTGCTTTTTGCTGTTTTATGTTCAGATGAGTCTGTTCTGTCTTGTCCAGTCGTGTGGCTGTGGGGGTAGCTTCTCCTCGGCTAAAGAAAACCTGGAGCTGAAGAGGGCCAGATATCTTTAGGAGGTACTATGTCAGAGGGGGTCACTCATAGACCCACATGGTACAGCTCAAACAGGCCAGGAGTAGGCCTTTAACGATAATCAGGTAATCGTACGATAACTTTTAATGAGCTCGATAACTTTTCCGGCCATGATAAATTCTGTTTGGATGCTTGTTTGTTTTCCTCGCAAAACGGGTGAATGTTAGAAGGCTTCTGTCGCTCTCTGATTCCTCTCGTTTAACAAGTGTAATGACACTTGAACCACCGTGCGCTGTGTTTATCAGCACAGTG